TCAAGTTCCGCTTTACTCAATTAACACAGATGAAGTTCTACCAAAAAGAGGCATTAAAAAGGGTGATATCTAAATCATCACRACAGATTAACTGGTTGGTTTGTATCAGAAAGAGGTGTCGGACCCCTAGAACATAGAAATCATCTTACATCATGCTTAAAGAGACAACAATCTCAGTTACGTTGCTTTTCCTTTAAAAGTGACTGGAATAGTGGCACCTTGGCTCTATTATCCCTTAGGCAATTGCCATAAACAATAACAGCATTCATCAATTTTACATCAGACAGAGCAGAGCTGGTTATTCKGGCACAAAATAAGACGTCACGATGCACAAATATGCATCGATTTGGTCACATTATTAATATGTACGTGACGCATGTGCAGCATAACCAGCCGCCAGGATTGCTGCTTGCTGCGGAGCTTCTGTGTTTTCCAGCTAAGGCAGAGCCCCAACAGGAGAAACAAGCAGCTACAGTTGAAAAAGCCTAAGGTTTCTTTTATTTAGTGAGCACACTACATAAATTAGCCACTAAATGCTAAAATGCAACTTGGTGATTTCATGAAACTTTGTGTTCAATGTACATTTGTAATTCGAATGGAAGATGTTCTCCCATCTTTGCAGCAAAGATGAGAAATAACTATCAAGAGCTGATACGTATAGAAACACCAGATACCCACTGCGTTAGTATTATTAGTGCAGAAGTGTCAAATCTGGGTGTAAGGAGTCTGTAATCCAACACACATTGAAGAACACCAGCACCCACAGCATGTCTCCCTTATCTGTATTTCCCTATTTTTAATATTTCTTACCCAAGAAAGTCAAAGCCTTCAACAATTTCCCTCCGAGTTACTGGCCTTGCTGTTCTGCTTAGGATTACTTCTACAAATTGCTTTGCGACATACACTGGAAATTTAAGGTAGAAAACCTGAATGAAATCATCTTTCCTTAAAAAGAAGTTACACCATCTCTTCAAAACTCCTCTCTTATAATGAAAAAATGCTAGAGAAGGACACAGGCATTAAATCATTCTCCAGATTGCCAGCTAGTTTTTTCTATGTACTTTCATCTACCCTGCTTAAGGAAGTATGAAAAGGAAGGAGGATTTGACTTTCTGCTGCCAACGAAACTAAACCTTGCTCGTGAGGCACTGCTTCTCCAGAGAGGAATGCTGAACTGATGGAGTTTATCTGAGAAGGAATTTGTCAATTTACCACTTCAAYGTTTGTGTAACTATGAGAAAGGAAAGCAAAACCAATCTGTATTCAAGTCCACTCGTATCATCTTCACCCGGCATCACTGAAAGGCTTACAAGAAGCACAAGGTGGAATTTTAAAGCCCCCTTTAATTCTCTTCTTGGGAACCCTAACTGTTCACCTTTCAAAAGACGGGAGAAAAAAAAAAAAGCAGGAAAAAAGCCTACAAGAAGAAAAAAACAAGTCAGTGTAAGAAGGATGGTAGCTTCCTCTACTGAACAGAGCGATTTACTTATGCATTGTAAAGTCAGTCRGCAAGATAGATATTATAGCTTAAATTAAGACACTTGGCAAAAAGAAAAAAAAAAATCTATTAACATAGTTTCCTTCAGATTCAGTTTCACAGTCTTAACCCCAGGCTTTCCTAAGCAAAACCCATCTATTACTCCGGTCTCACCTCCCAGGCGAGCCCTGTGTTCTGTGAGCTCGAGCTCACAGACATCTTCATGCTCCAGCCAGAAAACTAACAGAAGAACCTCTGTTTTTATTAAAATGCCTGATTTCAGGTGCTTTCATGAAGCTCAACTGATCAAAGCGGCTGCTAGTGCCGGGAGCCGTGAATTTGTTTCTCCAGGTAAGACCCTGACAGGAACACGCTGCCCTGCACGGAGACCTCTCCCCACCTGCAGGTTTGGTGCCCGCAGTGCAAACGGACAMGTTAAGTTCCCCAACGCTTCAGAGCCGCTACCTTAAAGATCAAGAGCTGGGACTCACCTACCTGAGGGCCGATCTTCGGCGTGACGGGTGTCCCCGCAGCCTCTACCATTAGCGGAGGCCACAGGTAGTGGGTCCTGTCATATTTCGCGCTAGGGCAATTTGGTGGTGGAACCGCGTCCTTCGGGTGGCCTGAGGAACAGGCCCCTTGGGGTTCTCGATGTGCCCGGGTCTCCCCATATTGCTGACAGCTTCCCCTAGCTGATATGGGGTCTGTTAGGGCACAGAAGAGGTAGTGAAGGAAGAAGGTCAAAACTTACCCCAGAAAGGACTGTGTAAGAAGGGGATTGGGCTAAGACCTCCCTTTCCATAGAGGAGCAGGAAAAGATCACAGGTGTGAGACAAGCTTCAGCGCAACAGAACYGCTTACACCTTCCACCACTGAGGAGAGACTCATCACCCAGACCCAAAAGGGATGCAGGAATTTACTCAGCAGACAGGTAAGTAAATTTAAAGGCTGCATTTGGGTCSCTCTCATGCGAAATCAACACCAGAGCACAACTCATCTGAAAAATCAACTGCCCAGAGCTGCAGYGTGCTGCCCATTCAGAAGACAGGCTGAAACACATCATTACTGAATCATCAGGATCATCACGTCTCGATTGAGSTCAGCACTGATCAAGACCAGGAGTGACACAAGCAGATTGAAGAGAAGAGCACTTGGAAAGTGAGGAACAAGGGCTCCCCCCAACTCCCATTCACCCCAACTCCTACAACCAGCACCCGGGTGACAGTTAAAACAATGATTATACAGGAACAATCTGGACACACAAAACAGTGCCTGGTCACAATAAAGCATGCAAAACAATATACCAGTTTGTATACCCTCATCTGCTCAGGRAGTTGTATCACTTTCCTTCCAGTGCAACCTCCCACCCCTTCACATGCATCTGTCACTGCTTCACGCTGGAGCTGTATTTTTATCCACTGGAAAATTGGAGAATGGCAGCTGCCYGAACTGCATATATGAAACTGTCCTCACCTAAGATCTGAATTCTGTCAGTACTGACTAACTTAAGAAAACAGCTATTGGCCAAACACCCTGGAGAAGCCTCCTTTTAGCACAGTCCCCTTCTCAAGCCCTGAACTGCTCGAATATGTGAATGTCACGGGAGAGCCCAGGGCTACAGCGGGAGCCTCTGCTGCAAGCAGGGCACTGGTTTCAATGACTCCCGTGTCAGGTGTCTCCTCCTGTCCAAAATAAAGGTGCTTTTAGCTCTCAAGAACACCAGAGAATGTACAACAGGTGTTCACTGCAGTCTAAAAAATAAAGATTAGATTAAAAAAAAAAAAAATCTTAGTTCACTCGGCCTCCAGCATCTCTTCTTAACTAAGACTGACTTTCAGGAAGTCCATTGGTTTGTATTTTTATTTTAAACATGTCAAGAAATATCACTGCTCAAAGCTGGCAGCAGCTATCACGGCAAAGGCTGGAGCAAAAGCTAGAGCTGGAGGGAAGTTAATTCTCCAGGCGGCTCTTTGGGGCTGGCAGGACGGAGGCCTCCGGAGCCGCGGCAGCCCGTGCGCCCTGCTCAGCGAGGGGCAGTTCAGGTGCTGCTGGAACACGCGCTGACACGGCACGGTAACCTCTGGCACGGGGGAACTGCAGCTCCCACTGCTGAAACCAACCTGCTGCTCRCGAATAATGGTCACAAGCAGGTATTTGCTCTTGTTACTAATGCAAAATGAGCAGGTAGTCGCAGTGTTTTATAGAAATAGGCTTTCAAAATGTATCTRACAGTAACTGAGCAACACGATATTAAACAGGCACATCTGCTTAATCCTTTCTGTGCAAAACCCGAGCTGCTATACTAACGTACACCTCAAAACTCATTTTGAAGCCCATAACGAGATCCTCCGGGTGCACAAAACACTGCGAGCACCCAGTTTCACCTGAGCAGTAACTGCCGAGATGGAAGCTCACAGGAAAGCCTCGTGGCCAGAAGCCTTCCCGGGCTGATAAGGATCTGTTTTGGAAGCGCAGTAGTTGTTAGTGCTCAGAAGTTGGTGCCAACTTGCAGCTTAAAGATACTGCCTGCTCCRCTGGGAAACAAAGAACCACTTCACACATAACTTGGCTCTGCTGCTCCTAATAAAAAAGGGCGTTTAAGTGAACTGCTCTCACTCTGGCTGCCATTTCCATGCAATAGTGGGCTATAAAAAGGGAGAAGGGGCAGCYGAGGGGTCACTGGGCTCCAGGCAAGCGGCTGCACTTGGGAAGCACTCCCTGCTCCACGGAGCTGCTCCCGCTGCCACAAAYGCCCTTCCCAAGGACATGCTGCCACCAAAGTCACAGGGAGGCCGGGATCCGACGTGCGACGACTCCGCACGTATCAGCCTCGCCTGGGCCGGGCGGCTGTCCAAGACCCCCGGGCCAGTAACCAGCGGCGCGGGGAGCTCTGGTGTTTGCRCCAGTGCTGAACAAGTTTGGGGCCAAAAGAGGAAGAAAAGGACCTCCTGTGTGAGTGTAGCTGCTGCTGTGCGGTCCGTGTCGGTGACACCGCTACAGCCGGCTGCACCTGCGCCGAGCGGGATGTCGCCACCTCGGAGCAGCAGCCGTGTCGCTCCGACAGCGGCTCCAGGCCCGTTCCCGGATCCAGGCCCATTCCCGGCACCGGGAGGGCTCCGCGGCATTCCTGGACAGGCGCTACCCTGGGCGGGAGCTGGGATCGGGCTCCCACTCGCGCCAAGCGCCTGGGTGCTGCCGATGCTTCCAGAAGCCAAACCCGGTGCTCGTTCGGACACCAAGCTAGCGTTTTAGTGGAAAACTGATACGCTGGAGAGTAAAGCGAGCACATGCGGGCTGAGACGCTCGTGGTGCTGCCGCAACTCACACGGACTGGACCAGACTGGGCTGGACATGACGGGCCGGGTGAGTCCGGACTGGGGCACGCTGGGCGGGTCAGATGGAGCTGGGCCGGGCCGGACCGAGCCGGGTCGGGCCAGACCGGGCCGGGCCGGGCCGGGCCCGACGGGTGCAGATGAGGCGGTAGCGGCGCGGCCCCGCGGCGCGACCCGCGGCGCTCGCTCACCTTGCGCGATGGCGATGGACTCGAAGCGGTGCAGCTCGCGCAGGAGGCAGCTGCGCTCCGTGGAGTGCAGGCTGTAGATGAAGTCGCGGGCGCCCTGCGCCGTGTTCAGCGCCTCCATGGGCTCCTTGCGCGGGTGCGTGCCCAGCGCGCG